GTTAATTAATGGCAGATCTGGGAATAAAATCCTGGTTCCTGGCTCCCAGCATGCTTTTCACTTTTCATGGTTATTCTGAGCCTAACTTGAAAAATCTGAAATGCCCTGATGCGTGTAGCTGCCCCTTCGAACATGAAACCGAAGAAATAGTAGAAGACAGTTTAAGGGTCTGAGTGTGGTTTTGGAAGGGCCTATCACACCACAAACTTGACCTGACCCACTTAGGGGGTGGGGGGCGGTGCAATTTAATTCTTAGTAATTTTCTTAATCATAGCAATTAATTTCTTCTGTACAAAATGCTTTTCAAATAGTCTCTGGAATGAATTGCCATGAAAAATACCAGTCTTCATAAATGGCTCTCATCAACGTACTTGCACAGGGTATGTGTAGGCACCAGATCATGGTCTTGCCCTCTCTCCATTTTTTTCTTTTCTCTAGCAATCATTAATATCTGTATGTTTCGACTTTGTCAAGTTAAAGGGCAAGAAATCATTGTAATACAAGTTTTACATGTTCCTCCCTCATCCTGCCCATGTAGCTTCTATCCCCTTAGGAGCCTGGCAACATGTTAAGACCAAGCATCAGTGAATCGTATAGGAGTGAGCACTTGACCAAGGGACAGTAGCACTTTATCCTGGGTGCATTAAATGCGGAATCCCACCACCACCCCCTCTTCTTCCCATTTATAAATCTATTTCTCCAGAGATCTACAGATTTTTTTTTTTTTTGGCTGCAGTTTTAGTCTGTTGGTAATTTCAGAATGCCTCTTAGCAAATAAAAGTCAACTCACTGAGTCTTCTTTGACTCCCTAATAGACTTGAAGAGATCTCAATTTTGAATCTGGATGGGAAGGGCACGGGTCAGCATAGTGTGGTGGATAGGAGCACAGACACTGGAATGGGAGCACCTGGTTCAAGTCCTCTTGTTACCAGGACCATGTGACCTGAAGTGCTCTGGGCCTCGGTTTTCACGTCTGAATCTTTATTTCATAGGGTTGTGTGAGCATGTAGTTAAATGCACTGTTATTTACAAAGCGTTTAGAACAGAGCTGGGTGCATCAAAGTGCTTAGTAAATGACTATTAAGGGAATTAAATGGTCCTGATTAGAACGTCGATTTCTTAGGACCAGGCTCTATTCCATTCAGAGGCTGTAACATGCAAGGCATTAGGGGCCCTTAGGCTTGAGGGAAAGGGATTTCTTTTCTTCAATTAGAATTGCAAAGTGCATTCTACACTAAGGCCATTTCATTCTCCCCAATTAAAAAGGAAACAGCAGTGGGGCTTGACTTTAAATGCCCAAGTGTATCAGCCCTTTTCAGCTGTGTGCATGTGTCCAACTTCTCTGTATGCTAATAGAGAAGCAGGGGCCTCCAGCAGGTGGCCTGTTCTGCCAGGGTCACTTTGGTAAGCCTGCTAGAATCACCGCAGTCTTCCCTATAACTTACTAGGTCTCTTGTGCACCAGCCCAGAGTCAGTTCCCGGTGAGGGGGTTTCCATGCCTGGCCTCAGTTGCTGCTGGGGCTGAGCTGTGGGAGCGATTAATGGGAAGTGAAAAGAGAAACTGTTGTTCTTACCCGGCAGAGCTGTTTGGAGTATGTGACTCTTCTTGTATTTAGGGAAAAGATTACTCATGAGTATTTTCTTCCATAGAATATAAAGAACCTCAAATTACTACTTGCATCCCCCACCCCCTTCTCACCCGCCTCCCTCCGTTTCAGTGTGTCCTCTGCAGAAACTTCAGCATTTTACTCTCATTTCCCCTCTCGCGCGGGATTCAGTTCTGTATTTGCTTTGGCAGCCGCACTTCCAATCAGCTACCCCCTACTTTTTTCTGTCTCTGGGCACCTTCTGCCCTCTGACCCTCTCACCCCAAGTGCATTCCTAGGCCAGCCTTGGCTGGATCTTCTCCTGTGTCCCCTCACAGTTGACTTTGCTCGTCCTTCTCATGTGAAGGAGAGAGAGGTGAAAGTCCCTAATAACAAATCATAATGCTGTTCTGTTCAAAGCTGATGCCACTGCCGGTAAGAAGGAAGGTTTAGTTTTTACCAGTTTCCAAATTGAGATTGTCCTGAGCCAGCCTGTCACTCTCACCTCACTGCAATTCCAGATGTGCCATTTTTTTCTTTTCTTTTCTTTCTTCTTCTTCTTCTTCTTTTTTTTTTTTTTTTTTGAGAGGTTTT